TCGGACAGACGGACCGATGCATGGATGGATGGGTGGATGGGTGGGTGGGTGGGTGGATGGATGGATGGATGGATGGGGACGGACGGACAGACGGACCGATGCATGGATGGACGGATGGGTGGGTGGGTGGGTGGGTGGATGGATGGATGGATGGATGGATGGGGACGGACGGACAGACCGATGCATGGATGGATGGGTGGGTGGGTGGGTGGGTGGGTTGGTGGGTGGGTGGGTGGATGGATGGGTGGATGGGGACGGACGGACAGACGGACCGATGCATGGATGGATGGATGGATGGGTGGGTGGGCGGGTGGGTGGGTGGGTGGGTGGATGGATGGATTGATGGATGGGCACGGACGGACAGACGCACCGATGCATGGATGGATGGATGGGTGGGTGGGTGGGTGGATGGACGGACAGACGGACCGATGCATGGCTGGATGGGATGGATGGACGGCTGGATGAATGGATGAAAGGATGCGTAGATGGATGGATGGTGGACGGACGGCTGGCTGGGCAGGTGGTTTGGCTGGTTGGTTGCTTGGTTGGTTGGTTGGTTGGTTGGTTGGTTGGTTGGTTGGCTTGCACCCAAGGCATCCTGAGCGCAAGCGTTGTCTTCGCATTGCCTCTGAGAGGCAGCCTGCAAGACATACGTGCCTCGACCGAAATCGGAAATTCTGGGCGAACATTATCACCTGATTTCTTTCTAGCTTTGCATTTCGGGAGTCAGTTTCCAAGGCGCTCAAATTCTCTTGGTGCCTATGCTCGTGGCGCGCCTTGGCACCCCTTAGCATGCCATCATCTGCCACACACCTCAGCAAAAAGATGCAGGCTGGTCCCACAAGAAAAAAACACACTCACAGCACACTGTGCCGGGAACGTGCGCCTTTTGCACCGCGCTGTGTGGCATGCCGTCACTGATTGAAAGCCAGGCAGGGCAGGGCCAAATTCACGCCTCCAACGTACAAAGGTTTGTTTGAACGCAGAACAGATACCCATCAGTCAAAACAGGGCACCGTCCGGCAAGATTTGTTTTTGTTCAAGGCAGCGCAATAACTGTGAGGCGGCGTCTTGCGTGCCAAAGGGTCGGCATAGAATCAAAACCTGAACCGCCAAACATACACCCTGACTTGAGCTTGAGTGTTACGTTGTGTGTATGTGTGAGAGTACAGTCGGGCGGGTGTACTTAACAACTCAGCACTTGGGGGGCGGGTTTGCCGCTGTGCTCAACATATTTAAATCAAAAAAAGTAACAACCCAATGCTAATATAATATACGTTTAAACCATGCAACTAATGGTGGATAATCTAATGTCCATTTAGATGGTTCATCAATGTACCATTTATTTACATCTAAACTATATGTTATTACCAGCCAATTACGATGTACCTCAAAATATGTTGAATGATACCATTGGATTAATTTGTTGGGCGGGTGTGCGTTTGAGCGGGTTCTCTCAGCACACCAAGGCACCGGATAGACATGCAAACGCAGTTGCACAGGTTTTGGCCAGACTGGGGGCGTGACACATGCCTGGGGACTCTTGAGCTGAATTGACAGGACGCGCAACTCCATGCAAATGCCAACCAAGCAGAAGTCATGCTTAACGGTGAAAAGGAGTTCCTATTTTAGCAGCTCGAAAGTCACATTGGTGTTCGCGAAGTGGCCTTAAAGTCGCGTTGGCCTATGCGAAGTGCACTTTGGCAGCTCCAGCTCAAAAAAAACAACTGTTCAGCGCGCGAAGTATGCTTTGGCAGCTTCAACATGCCTGCAATAGCTCCGTTATTTGGCTTTATTATTGTTGTTTGGCAGAGAAATTCAGCAAATAATCAACTCTGGGGAAAGGAACTTATTCTGTTCCTTCTTGCAACCCACATCCGATTCAAATATGAAAGTGCGTCATGTCCTTGCGCAGTTGCACTTACATCACAAGTAATTTCTATTTGCAGAACTGCATAACCATTCTAATTAAGTCATCTAAATATCACATTTGCAAAGCAACTATCTCAGTTGTGCGTTGTTTTTTTTAATTCGATTCACCCACTGTCAATGACATCTATTGAAATTCAAGTATGGAACAAATGTCAAGTTTTAAGATTTCAAATGCTTTCGACGTTAAGCCAAATTCAACTTGAACCGGTTGCAGTTTCTGGTACATTTCAGAAAAGCAACATTTGGAGAACACAACTATTGTCATGGCCAGTTGAAACTGCAATCAAATTCAATGTTCAAAAGGGTTATTGTTCTGATTTAACTCCGCGTGGGTTTAAGCAAGCAGAACTGAGCCAAGCGAATTACAGTAACGTGTTTTCAAACATAGGTCTTGGTCTTGGCAAGCAATGCTGTAAAATGCGGTGTTTTTCAGCATTTGCTCAGATGGTGAAGCCCTGGATCGAAGCTTGAGTATTCACTATTCCACATAGGTCTTTTCAGAACTTCCTCAATCCTGGCCCCTCAAAAGCTTGACAGTTTTTCTAAAATCTTTAAGGTTTCCCACCTACATTGAAGATTGAAGATCTCCCAGAGTTTGTTTTTTTCAGAATCTTTCATTTTGGCCAGCCTTGAAGCCCCCCAACAACTGCACTGTTTGCAACACATGTTCCCCCCCCCCCCCCCCCGGCAAAATGCAGGCGGTGCGCAGCCACAATTTGATTCTTGGAACGTAAGCTCCTGGTTTGCACTAAGTACTGATTTGAAGAATCCCAGAAAGTGTTCATCTCTGCTGTTCAGCATAGCGCACTCCGCTCGTTTTGGCTCAAGAAAAGGAGCGCTGCGACCGCCGCGCCTGTTTGTCGGTCATATTAGATTTTCATGGTAGCGGAGCCACTGGTTGCTTCAGTGGCCTGGGTCATTCATTGGGTTCATCACTGCGCTGGGGTGGCCACTGCTTGTCCTGTTGGCAGTATCGGCTGTTTCGGCCGGTACGGTCATAGGCAGGCGGTGGGTTCACCAGGTCGCGCGCGAGAAGCGCGTCGTCGGCCCGCCTGATCGTGAAGGTCAGGACCATCAGGAGGAGGCAGAGGCAATTTGCCTACCTCGGCCACTTCCTTAACTCGTTGAGTGAAAGTGTGACTAAGAGGATCAAGAAGCTATGGCCCAAGATGGATTGAACTTGGATGCATTGGCCGATGAGATGCGGCGGATGTCGCAGGCGTTGCAGCAGAGCCAGGAGCAGAACGCCCTCTTGCAGGCCCAGATGAATTTGCTGACTCAACAACAGCAGCAACAGAGAGCCGCTGATGACGGCATTCAGCCGAATGTGACGATGCAAGACCTCGGTCAGATCTTCGCAAGCATCACCCAAAGCCAACGGGATCTTGCTGACGCCATGAGGTCCCAACACGAACGAAAGCTCGCCCTGATCGACACGAAAGGCCTTGCGAAGCCTGACAGATTCAATGGCGCGGAAGAGAACTTCCTATACTGGCGGGTTCGACTTGAGAGTTTCATTGTGGCCTCCATGCCGGACCAGCTCGTTGCGGACATCTGTGTAGCCCGCATAGCGCTGCCGGTTCAACTGAAGGTAGCGCTCTATCTCTGCGGGGCAGATGTGCTCGAGGATGGCGATCTTGATCTCCTCATCGAGCTGATGCCGCGAGCCGTCGGTCTTCCGCCTCGACTCATACTGTCTCACCATTTCCTCCCAAGATTCAACCGCCGCGGAGAGCTCCTCGACCTTGTTGGCCTTGGCGGGGTTCAGGATGCGGCGCAACATTGCACGCCTCCGGCCTCCAGTGGACGGGTCAAAGCGCTTGAACAGCCGTCTCCACGACTCCAGGCCATTGTTCTTCCCCGCACTCCTCACTATGGTGAAGGCCTAGCGCTCATAGAGCGTCTGCAGCAGTGCGTACAATTGCGCGTCCACCTGCTCGATGTCCCTCACCTGTTTGTGCGTGGGATTCATGGAGCCCCATGCCGCCTTGATCGCCGCCTTGGTGATCTCGTCCTCATGCTCCTCGGACCACTCCAGGACCTCCTCAAGTGTGATGTACCTGGAGACTCGCCTCGGGACCCGCATTAAGAACTTCTCGCTATCTGCAGGTGCGGATGATGGTGCGGCTCCCATGGACATCGGTGGCTTCGGCAAGGGCGGAAGAGGTAATGGAAAAGGCCAAGGTGGAAAAGGCGGCAAAGGCAAGAAGGGCAAAGACGGCAAGGGGAAGTCGAATTCGGCGAAGCCCACATGCCACAACTGCGGCAAGCCTGGACATTATGTCAAGGATTGCTGGAGCGCCGGAGGAGGAGCAGCCAACAAAGGTCAGCAACCCAAGAAGCCTTACGGCAAGGGCGGCTATGGAAAGGGCGGCAAAGGCAGCAAAGGTAAGAAAGGAAAGAAGGGACAAGGCTCCAAGAACGGTGTCAACAACTTTGAGGAAGCCGATGATGACGGCTATCACCACGATGGAGGACAAGTGGAACCTGAAGCTGAGGCGCACGACACGGGCTACCAGTCCATTGCTGGATTGGACTATTTGAGCCTATCTGAGAACGAATCGGATGAGGCCGAGAACGATGAGGAATATCCCTGCCTGGACCCATGCGAGCAATGCTATGTGAATGGGTGTGCATCGGCGATGACCAAGCCCGATGGAGAACACGAAGGGCCTCACATGTGCGCTCAGTGTGTTGAGGACGAGTCCAACGATCGTGGTGAGCTGAGTGAGAACAAATGGATACATGAATACCAATTCGAGTACGTGGTCGACCGCACAGTTTGCTTTCAATTCAAGGTGGATCCCAGCCAGTTCTACGAGCAGTCAGATCTGGAGAAGGATTCAATGCGGAAGATCCGACCGGATCTCTGAGGTTGCAGAATGATCAGATAGACGTGGCCGCGTGGAGAGGGCTTCCTGGAAGGCGCGCTCGCAAGGGACCAAGGAGCGAGTCGGACCTCTCCGGCCGTCTCCACGTCGGATCCGGGTGAGCAAGCCAGTTCTTCCGCTCTGCCCAGACCACTAGGTACATCTTCCGGATTGATTGTACACCGGACCATCGAGATGATGGAGATCGCCAACCTCGATGTGGAGATCCGAGACAAGACCGCAGAGATTGAAGATGCAGAGGATGAGGAGACTGTGGCGAGACTCACTGCTGAGATCGAACAGCTCAAGGATCGTAAGCAGAAGCTGAAGGAAAGAGCCAGAGAAGAAGACAGAAAGGCCAAGGCCATCAAGCAGGCCGGGCAGTTCAAGCTCACAAGCGAGAACGTGCTCTCGCAGGAGTGGCATGATAGCCGCTACTATGGGGCAAGGAAGGCTGGCGTAAGCCACTCTGCAGCGTGGGCGCAGGAGAAGAAGCGAAGACGGGCGATTTTGAGTAGATAGCAGGGAACAGGAAGCAGAGCCAGAGAGAGGATCAATTTGGACAAGAAATGGCACAGGTCCTTTGACTCTGGCCAGGTGAAAGACGAGGAGTACCAGAACGATATCCTTGAAGGCGTCGAGACAGAAGGCGTGGAGGACATTGGCGGTGGAAAGGTGCGTGTCCTGACGGGCGATGCACGTGTCGCCAAGAAGAGCCAGCTGAGGCAAGCGGACCAGACCAAGTTCGTGCAGGCAGCAAGGAGGTACCGGAGTCTGACACAAGCTGAGGTGTCAAGGTTTAAGGTAGAGACGAAGGAGGATGAGGCGAAGGTTATGGAAAAGAAGCGGGTGAACCTGTTCGCCAAGAGGCTGAGGCACATGACGCCTCAGAAGAAGCTGGAGAGGAAACAGCGAGTAGCGGCCGCGAAGAAGAGGAGAACTGTCTGCAGGAGCATGGTTTGGCATGGAAAGTGCAAAGATGGAGACAAGTGCAAGTTCGACCATGACGTGGCCAAGTACGAGAAGGCCAACCTGTGCCCGCAGTTCATACACGGGCATTGCAGGCAGCTGACGAAGTGCAAGATGAATCACGATGCGGTGGAGCGAGAAATCTGCCGAATCCTGAAGAGGCAGAAGAAGGTGAAGAGGAAGAAGAGCGAGGCGCAGACAGGTCAGAAAGGAGCGAGTCGGACCTCTGGTCCGGCCGACTCCGATTCTGGCGGTTCTGCAATGGAGCAAGAGGATGCAAAAAGTACGGTGAGGCTGATCGAGGCCAAGGATGTGAAGAGTACAGTGAGGTTGGTCGAGGCCAAGGATGTGAAAGATCCCTCATCGTTTGAGGCTCCCTATGCAGAGCAAGGAGAATGGATCTCCATGAATTTCGACACCGGAGCGGCTGTCACGGCGATTCCAAAGAAGCTGAGCGACTACTTGGAGTTGAAAGGTGACCCTAACTCCAGCAGCTACAAGACGGCCAGTGGTGAGTTGCTTCCAGACGAAGGCGGGGCAGTCATGCGTGGATATACTAATGACTGCTGCGGACGAAGCATAGAGGGCCGCTTGGTGGATGTCCATCGATTGCTGGTCTCAGGAAGTGCGGTGTCGAAGAAGAATGTGGTGATCCTGGATGGCAATGAGGGTTGGATTATCCCCCGGGACAGCAAGATCGGCAAAGGCGTCCGCGCGACTCGCGACGACCTCATCAACCAGAACTACAAGGAGGCAAAGATGATCACGAAGATGTACGAGAGGAAAGGCATCTTTCTCTTCGACCTGTGGATGGACAAGCACACCAAGATGAATGGTGTGGATGCCAAGGAGCTCGGAGCAGTGCAAGGAGGGAGCCAGTCGCCAGGTTTCAGGCGGCAGGCTCAGAAGCAGCCGTAAGTCCGGAAGGTGAAGAGTCTGCTGAGGGTGAAGGTGGTCGGAAGCCGAAGCTGTTGCGATCGCCGGTCACCATGACAGTAGACGAGATTGAGGAGCACGAAACGCAGGCGACCATCCATAGGACCTGGTGTGGTCACTGCATGCGTGCTCGTGGACTACACGAACGACATGCTTCAGAAGCTCAGAAGGGAAAGGATGAGAGAGGATTGCCGATCATCTCCATGGACTACTTCTGGATGGGCAAGGACTCCAAGAACAGAGACGTGCCGGATCCTGAGGGTGAGTTACCGTCTCTGCAGATCAAGGATGAACACACAGGCTTTGTATGGGCCAGTGTGGTACCGGCGAAAGGGGCGGACCTCTACGCCGTCAACTTTGCCATCCAGAGCGTCGAGGAGAGCGGCTACCGGAGGATCGTGCTCAAATCGGACAATGAATCGTCAATCAAAGCTTTGAAGAGTGCGATCAAAGAGGGAATCAAGAGCGTCGAGATCGTGATGGAGGAAGGTAAGACAGGTGACTATCAAGAGCGTCGAGATCGTGATGGAGGAAGGTAAGACAGGTGACTCGCAGTCGAACGGAAGCTGCGAGGTGGCGGTCAGGGAGACCAAGAGGCAAGTCAGGGCGATGAAGAGCGCCCTGGAAGAGAAGATGGGTCTGAAGATCCACTCGAGGCACCCAATCCTCGCATGGGTTGGGCGTCACGCATGCTTCATGCTGTCGCGATTCCGTGTTGGAGCCGATGGCAGAACCGATGAGAGATCACGCGGAAGGTGGAAGAGACCTTCGGTCACCTTCGGGAGAGTATGGTTTAAGCCTCGGAGTTACGTGCGTTTGGCTTACGACACCATGCGTGAGGGCCTGTTTCTGGGGGCCCATGGGCGCAATGGCGATGCGCTCACCGAGGGCGTGAAGGGCGGAAGTGTGAAGAGAGTCCCCGACGAGACGAAATTCGACCAGATGTGCGGCACGCCATGGAAGATGAGGCCAAAGAGGCCTGAAGACCTAGTCGCGCCCGCCGTTGCTCTTCCAGCGGTCCCTGAGGGAGTTCGTTTGATGCCTGAGCCCTCCGATAAGGGATCAGGTCAAGTCAGGAATTTGTACGTCAAGAAGGCCGATGTGGAGGGAAACTTCACTCCCGGCTGCGATGGCTGCAATGCCATCGTGGGGCTCCCTGCAAGGTCCCACAGCGTGGAATGCAGAACGCTGGTTGAGCAAAGGCTCATGGAGACCGAGGAGGGGCGCGACTGCGTCATGAGGGCAAGGAAGAGAAAGGCGGATGCCGCCGGAAAGGAGGATAAGTCAGGAGACGTGGTGGTTCCCGCCATAGAAGGCATGCCAGACATGGAGGAAGTTGCAGCTTCGGCCGTCGGTCAGCCGGCCCGAGTCCACCCTTTGGGCCGGCCGCCAGAAAGGCGACCGATGGAAGATCCTGCGGAAGGCCTTCACAGAGCTAAGTCCCCGGACAGAAGGGGACGTGGCCCTGGAATCGGCCATGCAGGAGAGAGAGGCCGGAGCTTCGAGCTCTGGGAGCGCTGGAGCACAGCCCTCGGGAGCTGATCCTGCTATAAGCTTTCTGGAGAAAGTGTGCAGTGAAGTGCTACTCGGGCTGGACAAGACGTTTGTGCCTGAGACAATACATGAGATGAACCAGCTGTACCAATCGTTGGGAATGAGCGGCGCCGACGTGGCCGAGATCTATAACCCGAAGCGGTTCACGTCGAATTCCAACGCGTTCGGTCTGCAGCCAGGCTTCGCGATTGACTTGACGCTGCAGAAGGATGATGAAGGCAACCATTGGGATTTGTCAAAGACCGAGCATCAGAAAAGCTCAAGGGATTGCTGTGGAAGGAGAAGCCCGCGTTCTTGATCGGGTCACCACCTTGTGGGCCTTTCAGCCCACTGCAGAATCTGAGCAATCACAGGCGCACCGCTGCCCAGAACAAGGCCATTTTGGCTGAGGGCAGGTTGCACCTAAACGTGGCGACTGAGGCGTACTTGGAACAACACCGGAACGGCCGATACTTCCTTCACGAGCACGCGAAGCCTTCGAGAAGTTGGAAAGAGCCATGCATTGAGAAGCTACAAGCCATGGACGGCGTCTACACGGTGCAGGCTCCGATGTGCAAGTGGCATATGAAGGCTGAAGATGGGCAAGGAGTTGGATTCGTGCGCAAAGAGACGTGCTACGTCACCAACTCCGCCGAAATGGCTAATTATAAGGCACTTGAAGGGCGCTGTGAAGGGAGCCACAGGCATGTCCATCTGATCAACGGGCGGGCTCGTGAGGCACAAGTCTACCCGCCGAAGCTGGTGAACGCGATTTTGAGAGGAATCAAGAAGGAGCTCATGAACGCAGGCGAGATCAGTGAACTGTCTTCGATCACTGCAGGTCCTTCGCCTGACGAGACAAGCAGCGAGCCCACAGAATCTTTCTTCGACCCTGACGTCCAGACAGAAGGCGTCTTCTTCGAATCCGTGACCGGCACGCCTCTGAAGACCGAGAAGGTCTGGGAGGCGAGACGCGAGGAGATGACATGGGTGAAGAAACAGGACCTGTACGAAGTGGTGGATGAGCAGGTCTGCTGGAATGAAACCGGTCGAGGCCCGATCGGTCTAAAGTGGGTCGATAGAAATGAAATAAAGGAGATGCCTTGAAGGAGAATTACAGGAGCAGACTGGTGGTGAGAGAAATAAAGCGAGCTTCGGTCCCCCTGGCGGAGTTCGAATCTCTCTCGGCAATGCCACCATTGGAAGCTCTCAAAGTCCTGTGCTCACTTCTCGTCAGCAAGAAGGTGAGCAAGTCGGGACAGCCTTTGAAGTTGCGGCTGATTGACATCAGCAGAGCACACTTTGGACAAGCCCGCCGACGGGTGTTTTGCAACTTGGGAGAAGAGATCCCTGGCAAATGCGCGCTCCTGAAGCGCAGCATGTACGGCACCTTGGACGCGGCTTCGATATGGCAACACACGTATGCTGATGTTCTGAAGAACAACATCAAGCAATGCAATGCATGGCCCGCGTTGTTCTATCAGGAAGATAGTGATCTGAGATTCATGGTGCATGGGGACGATTTCATCTCCCTGGGTGACGACTTCGCCCAGAACTTTCTTGAGAAGGTCCTGAGCGAGAAGTTTGAGTACCGGGTGGATGGCCAAATCGGCCCTGAGGCCGCAGACGGCACAGCCATGTGTGTTCTCAACCGCGTGCTGGAGTTCAACAAGGACACCGGCATTCTCACCTATGCAGACCCGCGAAACGCAGAGGACATCATCCGTGCCCTGAATCTGGAGGAGAGCAAGTCAGTATCCACTCCTGCGGAGAAGCAGAAGCTCACCGACGTGCTTGCTGAAGCCTCCGTGAGCTTGAGACTGCGACATCGCACAGGTCGCTCACCATGCGAGCTGCTTACCTGAGTATGGACCGCGCCGATCTCAGCGAGGCGGTCAAGTCCTTGGCCAGACACATGACGTCGCCAACTTCGTACTCTTGGGGGCGACTCAAGCGGCTCGGGCGCTACCTTGTGGGAGTTCCGTCTACTGCGACAGCGACCACGCAGGCGACCTCAAGAGTCGCGAGAGCACTACGGGACTCATCTGCATGCTCGGCACTCACTGTGTCAAGCACTCAAGCAACCTTCAGAGTACGGTGAGTCTGAGCTCGGGCGAGAGCGAGTTCTACGCTCTGGTGAAAGCTGGGGCAATGGGGCTCGGCTTGCAGGCCATGCTGGACGAGTGGCAGATCCCCACCAGGATCGTGTTACTCTCTGACAGCTCCGCAGTGAGGGGAATGGCTTCACGGCGTGGCTTGGGTAAAACCCGTCACGTCCAGACTAGATACCTGTGGATACAGGAGCGAGTACAGAATAGGGACGTAGAGTTGCAGGCAGTCGGCACAGATCGCAACCTGGCAGATTTGTGCACGAAGCCTGTGCCTGCGGATGTGTGTCGCAGACACATGGACACCATGGGCAAGGAAATCACCGCCGGCCGCAGTCTGACTGCAAAGCAGTTGGTGTAAGCTGCGCATCGAGGGATGCTGGCTTAGGAGGGGTGTTCATCTGTGCTGTTCAGCATAGCGCACTCCGCTCGTTTTGGCTCAAGAAAAGGAGCGCTGCGACCGCCGCGCCTGTTTGTCGGTCATATTAGATTTTCAGAAAGAGTTGTCAGATAATCTTCAATCTTCAATATTTAACCTGGTTTGCGCAAAGTATGGACTTGAAGAATCCAAAAAATACAAAGCTACATATGTATGGACATGTATGGTCGACGCAGACACACACACACATTAGGCACGCATGTGTACAAGTGTACAGTACATGCGAGCGCACGACACATCCACAAAGAATACACACCAGCAACAGGCGGCACAACATGTAACCGGCAGGCGTGCCAAAACACACACAGACACACACACACACACACACCCACACCCACATCCACACCCACACCCACACCCACACCCACACCCACACCCACACCCACACCCACACGCACACGCACACGCACACGCACACGCACACGCACACGCACACGCGCACGCGCACGCACACGCACACGCACACGCACATGCACGCGCACACGCACACGCACACGCACACGCGCACGCACACGCCACGCCACGCCACGCGGCGCCGCGCCGCGCCGCGTCGCGCCGCGCAAGCACGCCACACACACACACATGGCCACAAAAACACTGCCACAACACCACAACACGTGCACAACCGTATATATATATATATATACAACGCACGCAACAAGCTGACTAGGCATGCATGTATACACGTGTGCATCACGTTCGAGCACTTAGTGCTTGCAGTTAGCCAGAGGATTCTCTCACTTGCAAGTGCCTGGATGCTGGCCGTGTGCTGCATGCATCCCTGGCATCCGCGGAAACTTGACGTGGAAACCTTTGGAAAACACGGGGCTGCGCTAATCAGCTCATCATGGCGCCGTTGGCTGAGGAGAAGGCAGCCCCTTCGGACCGTGTTTGCCTCGATGCGCTTTACGGAGGGCTCCCCGATGGTCCAGGCGTGCGGCCTGTTAAAGCTAAAGGACGGGCATCTTGGGAATCTTGGGCATCTTGGGCAATGTGCGAATCTGCGCTGTCAACATGTTTAACATGAGCAAACGTCATACGCAGTAAGGGTTTGCAGAAAGAGTGACCAGGCAACTCAATCTGACCAGAGAAGGCTGCACCGGCGACCCCGGCCTGTGCTCTGAATTGTTAGAAGGGCTGCGTGAGGCCAAAAGGTACATAGATACTTCTTAAAGCAAAGCCTTGTATGCTTTTGGCACTATTCCCTATCTATACTGGCCAACATGTTGGTGGAGCTGTGGAATGGCACACTGCCGAGCCATGCGGGACAAGTTGGACAGCCTGGGCCCAAGCAGTGTCAAATACCTGTCCAAGAAGTTGCAGCAACCATGCGATAGCCGCGCGTTTCACCAGAACTTTCGCTCATCCATTCATTTCATGTCATTTCATGTCATGTCATGTCATGTCATTTCATTTCATTTCATTTCATTTCATTTCGTTTCATTCATTTCATGCATTTCATTCGTTTCATTTGTTTCATTCATTTCATTCATTTCATTAATTCATTCATTCATTTCATTCGTTCATTCATTCATTCATTTATTCGTTCATTCATTCGTTCATTCATTCATTCATTCATTCATTCATTCATTCATTCATTCCTTCATTCCTTCATTCCTTCATTCCTTCATTCCTTCATTCCTTCATTCCTTCATTCCTTCATTCCTTCATTCCTTCATTCCTTCATTCCTTCATTCCTTCATTCCTTCATTCCTTCATTCCTTCATTCCTTCATTCATTAATTCATTCATTCATTCATTCATTCATTCATTTCATTTCATTTCATTTCATTTCATTCCATTCCATTCCATTCCATTTCATTTCATTTCATTTCATTTCATTTCATTTCATTTCATTTCATTTCATTCATTTTATTCATGTTATTGATTTCATTCATCTCATGCATTTCATTTGTTCATTCATTCATTCATTCATTCATTCATTCATGCATGCATTCATTCATTCATTTATTCATTCATTCATTCATTCATTCATTCATTCATTCATTCATTCATTCATTCATTCATTCATTCATTCATTCTTTTGTTTCATTTTATTTCATTTCATGTCATCTCATTCAATTTGGTGTCATTTCATTCCATTCCTTTCGATTTTATTTCCTTGTATTCATGCCATTTAGTTTCTTCACTCCATTCATTTTATGAATTCCATCTATTTCTTGGTTCCTGTCATTCTGTTCAGTCCGTGCATTCCGTTCATCCCATTCATCCCATTCATCCATTCATGCATCCATCCATTCATTCATTCATTCATTCATTCATTCATTCATTCATTCATTCATGCATTTATGCATCCATGCTTTCTGTATTCAGTCTAGCACGTAGGCCATGTCTCTAAAAAGAACATAAATCCTCTTTGAAAGCATGCAGGCCCGAGCTCTGCAACGCGCCCTCAAGCAGCACAATGTGGAGCTGGTAATTGCCTCTTGGCCAAGTCTGACTAAAACACTTGCGAACTGTTACTGCGTCTTGGTAAGGCATGTGAAATGCGTAGGGGGATATTGGGCTTACATCATCTACGATCAACATATCCAGCAACATTTCTAAGTGTAGTCTATTGAACATTTCCATACATTTCCCTGTTTACCATCTTCAATTTTGCTCAGAGCATTCTGTTACGCTCCACCCAGGTCAGTGCCCACCTGTCCGAGTCCATCACGCGGGTTGTGCTGCAGCGGGAGCTATCCCGCTGCGATGCCTTCCTGGCGTTTGGGACGAAGGACTATGGTGAGGACACTGGCAACCCAGCTTCCACCTACAAGGAGCTTGAGTGGTGGGAGCTCTGACTAAATTAGTGCTGTGTGACTGCTTTTGTGGCAGGGTTTGAATCGGAATCAGTTTCCGGATTGGGATTGGATGGGTTTGGGCAGGTATGATTTTGCTTTCTTTCTTGGCATGCCAGCAAAGCGATCGCAATATGTCTTCGCGTTTGGTGCAAAGTCAATGGCAGCATAATCAATGATTACTTGCTGGGTGCGGGAAGTTACAAAACAGACAGTGAAACCAGCAGCTAACACGAGTTTTCCTTGGTTTTCTCGCGCCGTTTATTTTCTTTTCACAGCTCTTAAACCGTGCGTTCCCGGCAGAAATCCATGGCTTTCCACGAGTTTTCCTTGGTCTTCTCACGCCGTTTATTTGGATTTCACAGCTCTTAAACCATGCGTTCCCGGCAGACATCCACGGCTTTCCGCGAGTGTTTTTTGTTTTCTCGCGCCGTTTATTTGCATTTCACTGCTCTTAAACCGTGCGTTCCCGGCAGAAATCCACGGCTCTCCACGAGTTTTCCTTGTTTTTCTAAATAGTTCTCAGCCTATGGCAGCCCTATGCTTTTGTGCTGTATGCTCCTTCAGTCCTGGCTAGTCCCTCGACATGCGGAGGTCCCTAATCAAAGGAAGTTTAGGAGGAACTTCCGTGTTACGGCAACTAATTGAAAGCTAGCTCTCTGAGACAGATGACAAGAGAAGGAATAAGCCCGCGAGAACAAAACCTGATAGAAGCCACGAACCCGAATGCAAAAGATGGCCTTGGGAACGCGCAGTTCGTCAACCCGAGCAATGTTGTCCAGCTGGAGACATGTTTTGAGCGACGTTTTGAGCTTGTGACCGACCGTTCAACCGACACCTCTAAATATTTTTCAACGCAACACTCGTAAGCGGCTTTTGTCACTGACACTTTTGAGAGACGCTTCTGAGCAAGAGCTTGAGCAACGGCAACACTTCTGAACACGCTTACAAGCGTTATTTCAAACTACGCTCCTAAGCGACACCTCTGATTGACACATGTCATGTAAGCGTCAAGCGCCAATCCTGAAGCCATAATTCTGAGCGACAAACTACGGCAAACTGAGCGACACCTCTACACACAGACATAAGCGACACTTCTGAGCAACACTTCAAGTGACACTGTTGCACTTTACACACACACACATACACGTAAGCGACGCTACTGAGCGACACTCCTGAGCGACAGTTCGGGCAACATTTCTATCTGAGCGACGCTGTTGAGCGACACTCCTGAGGAACATTTGTGAGCGACATGTCTGAGCAACACTTCTGAGCGATACTCCTCAGCGACACTGCGGACAACACCTCTGAGCGACACTTCTGAGCCACACGCACTTCTACACGCACATCAGCAACACTCCTGGGCGACCCTCCTAAGCGACGATTCGAGCGACACTTCTACACACACACACATAATCACACATATCTGAGCGACACCTCTGAGCGACACTTCTGAGTGACGCTGCTGAGCGACAGTGCTGAGCAAACTCTCTGACCGACACTTCTGAGCAACACTTCTGAGCAACACTTCGATCCGAGCAACGCTTCTGGTCGACACTTCTGAGCAACACTTTTGACCGAGCGAACCCTTTGCGCACTTTGGGTGGGTCCAATCGCTCTTGCTGTGGCGCGGTGCACATTTTGCAAATGCAAAGTGAGTGCAAAGTGAACCCTCTGCGCACTTTGGGTGGGTCGAATCGCTCTCGCTGTGGCGCGGTGCGCATTTTGAGCATGCGAAGCGAACCCTCTGCGCGCTTTGGGTCGGTCGAATCGCTCTCGCTGTGGCGCGGTGCGCATTTGGAGACAGAAGTGTCGTTTGGAAGTGTCGATCAGGAGTGCCCATTGGAAGTGTCGTTCAGAAGTGTCGATTAGAAGTGTCGTTGAGAAGTGTCGATCAGAAGTGTCGATCAGAAGTGCCGTTCAGAAGTGTCGTTCAGAAGTGTCGATTAGAAGTCTTGATCAGAAGTGTCCATCAGAAGTGTCGTTAAGTATGGGAGAGAGAGCGAGAGAGAGAGAGTGAAGAGAGTGAAGAGAGTGAAGAGAGTGAAGAGAGTGAAGAGAGTGAAGAGAGTGAAGAGAGTGAAGAGAGTGAAGAGAGTGAAGAGAGTGAAGAGAGTGAAGAGAGTGAAGAGAGTGAAGAGAGTGAAGAGAGTGAAGAGAGAGAGAGACAGAGAGACGATCAGAAGTGTCAATCTGAAGTGTTGTTCAGAAGTGTCGATCAGAAGGGTCGATCGCAAGTTTCGATCAGAAGTGTCGTTCAGTAGCGTTCATTAAGACAAGAGACGTGGCAAGAGACGTGACAAGCTGCATTTCTCAGAAGTGTCGATCAGAAGTGTCGACCAGAATCGTTCAGAAGTGTCGGTCAGCAGTGTTGCTCAGAAGTGTTGCTCAGAAGTGTCGTGTCGCTTAGAAGTGTTAATCTGAAGTGTCGATCAGCAGTATCGATCAGAAGTGTTGTTCAGAAGTCTTGCTCAGAAGTGTCGCATCGCCCAGAAGTGTGGCTCAGAAATGTCAAATAGAAGAGTTGCTCAGATGTCTCGATCAGAAGCGTCGATCAGACGTTTTCATCAGAATTGTTGCTCGTGTCGCTCATGAAGTGTTGCTCAGAAGGGTCAAGAAGGCTTAACACAGACACAGAACGTTCGAACATCGACTTGGCTTGCTGGTGCTCAGTAGGGAATGAGGGAATGAACCTAGGGATTCCCTTAAAGGAAACCATATGGGATGGTTTATAGGGGTCATTCCCTCATTCCCTACTGAGGAGCAACTTGTCCAGCAAGTTGCTTAAGCCGTTACAGATCAGCAAGCCCTGGGCGGGTGGGTTCTGCCAAGGAGCAGCATGGAGGGCAGTCCCCACTGCTGCTCAACATGCTGTTGCCGGGCGAGGACTTCCTCCACCCTGCGGCCCAGGATTGAGAGAGCTCTTTGAGGCGCTTCGTTTGTTTCAAAAAGTTAGAGAAACGGAAAAAAAGAACAGCACACAATTAAGAACACAATTTGTTTGTTTCATCCGAAAACCTAAAATACAAACAAATATGAAACTTGTTTGATTTGGTTCCTTCATGTTCCTTCGCACCGTTTGCCATGCGACAGGATGTTTTTGGGCCTCGCCTCAACCTCTTCCAGGCGGGAAGGTGGTCGTTTTTGAACGCGTGCTTTGGCTCGTTTTTGAACGCGTGTTTTGGCTCGTTTTTGAACGCGGTTTTGCTCAAGTGTACGTGATTTACAGCAGCACGGCCATGTTTCCAAGTTTCCACGCACACCACGATGAGGCGCACGAACACGTGGATGGCGCCGCGCTTTTGGGAGACAATCGTTAACTGTAGACCCGGGAGCACAAAGCACAAGGAACGCAAAGCGACATCATCATCATCAACATCATCATCATCAACACCAACATCATCATCAACACCGTCATCATCACCAACAACATCACCATCCTCAACATCAACACCATCATCATCAACATCATCAACATCACCACCAACATCTATATCATCATCATCATCATCAACAACACTGTCAACATCACCATCATCATCATCATCACCATCACCATTATCATCATCATCCTCATCACCATCATCAACATCATCATCGTCAACATCATGATCAACATCGTCAACATCAACATCATCACCATCATCATCATCATCATTAACAACATCATCTCCATTATCAACATCAACGTCAACATCACCATCATCATCGCCATCATCAACGTCATCGCCATCGACATCCTCATCGCCAACATCAATATTATCATCATCAACATCATCATCATCGTCATCGTCAACATCGTCAACATAATCATCATCATCATCATCATCAACATCGTCAACATAATCAGCATCATCATCATCATCATCATCATCATCATCATCATCATCATGACAATCATCATCAACATCGTCATCATCACTACCAACAACACCACCATCACCACCAGCGCGCAGTCGCACGGTCACGCAGTAAGAGGCGAACGTAACTGCCCCACCCCATCCCCCCCCCCCAGCCCCAGGACGCAGTCGCACGGTCACGCAGCAAGAAACGAACGTAACTGCCCCACCCCACCCCCCCCAGCCCCAATACGCAGTTGCGCCGCCACGCAGTAAGCGGCGATCGCAATTCCAGGAGGCTCCGATTCGCAAGTTACTTAGGCCGTATGAGCTAAGGAGGTTTTTTTGTGTCGCGAGGACAAGATAACTCAGAGCTTGAAATTTCACGAGTTTTCACGGCTTTTTCACTGAGTAGTAACGGCCTTTCAGTTTCCCGCGCGAGTTATTACGGCCGCTAGGCCGAGTTTTCACCACTTTACGGGGGCCAACGAGCGCAAGTCGCCGAGGACATCTTAGCTTAAAAAATCCAAGGTAACTTGGGACTCGGAGCCTCCTGGTTGCCCCCTTCCTCCAGCCCCAGGGCGCAGTTGCACGGGCACGCAGTAAGAGGCGAACGTAACTGCCCCACCCCACCCCCCCCCCCCACCCCACGGGTGCCGCAGGATAGCCCCCCCATGTGTTCGAAAATGACCCATTCTGTGTTCGAAAATGATCCAGGACATCGGTGTTCGAAAATGATCCAAAATCGGTGTTCGAAAATGATCCCCCTCCCCCCAGGCGAGTTGGGCCTTGGACACGGACGCTGCGAACCCGTTCCTGGTTCGCGTCCCCACGGAGGCCATTCGCAGGTTGTGACGTGTTGCCGTGTTGCGTGCGTTCATTTGGAGCTTTGCGTTCCTGCGTTTTGTCGCTTGCGCAGTTGACCCAGGTTGTTGGCGGAGTCCTGGATGCCGCAGTGGCGCTCGGCCATGCAAGCCACTGCGACAAGCATGGCCGCGGCTTAATTGCAACTGCTGTCATTTGAGAGAGACGATGCTGTAGTTCGCACACAGAAACTAGTGTTGCTTCAAGGTAGTTCTTTTTTTGCGTTGGGTGTGGCTGAGATGTGATATGTTTTTTGTTTGCTTGTTGTAGTTAGTTGGTGGGTTTGCTTCGTGACTGGTT